CCGGGCCTCATACCCTGGGACTTCATTCCCCGGGCCTCATACCACTCCCCGGGCCTCATACCCTGGGACTCCATTCCCCGGCCTCATACCCTGGGGCTCCATTCCCCGGGCCTCATACCCTGGGACTCCATTCCCCGGGCCTCATACCCTGGGACTCCATTCCCCGGGCCTCATACCCTGGGACTCCATCCCCGGGCCTCATACCCTGGGACTCCATCCCCGGGCCTCATACCCTGGGACTCCATTCCCGGGCCTCATACCCTGGGACTCCATCCCCGGGCCTCATACCCTGGGACTCCATTCTCCCGGGCCTCATACCTGGGACTCCATTTTCTCATACCCTGGGACTCCATTCCCCGGCCTCATACCTGGGACTCCATTCCCCGGGCCTCATACCCTGGACTCCCCCGGGCCTCATACCCTGGGACTCCATCCCCGGCCTCATACCTGGGACTCCACCCGGGCCTCATACCCTGGGACTCCATTCCCGGGCCTCATACTCTGGACTCCATTCCCGGGCCTCATACCCTGGGACTCCTGGGACTCCATCCCGGGCCTCATACCCTGGACTCCATCCCGGGCCTTCATACCCTGGGGGCCTCATACCCTGGGACTCCATTCCCGGGCCTCATACCCTGGGACTCCATCCCGGGCCTCATACCCTGGGACTCCATTCCCCGGCCTCATACCCTGGGACTCCATTCCCCGGGACTCCATTCCCCGGGCCTCATACCCTGGGACTCCATTCCCGGCCTCATACCCTGGGACTCCATCCCGGGGGGGGCCTCATACCCTGGGACTCCATCCCGGCCCTCATACCCTGGGACTCCCCCGGGCCTCATACCCTGGGACTCCATTCCCCGGGCCTCATACCCTGGACTCCATCCCCGGGCCTCATACCCTGGACTCCATTCCCCGGGCCTCATACCCTGGACTCCATTCCCCGGGCCTCATACCCTGGGACTCCATTCCCCGGGCCTCATACCCTGGACTCCATTCCCCGGGCCTCATACCCTGGGACTCCATTCCCCGGGCCTCATACCTGGGACTCCATCCCGGGACCCTGGGACTCCATCCCCGGGCCTCATACCCTGGGACTCCATTCCCCGGGCCTCATACCCTGACTCCATCCCGGCCTCATACCCTGGCGGGCCTCATACCCTGGGACTCTCCCGGGCCTCATACCCTGGGACTCCATCCCGGGCCTCATACCCTGGGACTCCTTTCCCCGGCCTCATACCCTGGGACTCCATCCCCGGCCTCATACCCTGGGACCCTGGGCCTCATTCCATCCCGGGCCTCATACCCTGGACTCCATCCCCGGGCCTCATACCCTGGACTCCATCCCCGGGCCTCATACCCTGGGACTCCCCCGGGCCTCATACCCTGGGACTCCATTCCCCGGGCCTCATACCCTGGGACTCCATCCCCGGGCCTCATACCCTGGGACTCCATTCCCGGGCCTCATACCCTGGGACTCCATTCCCCGGGCCTCATACCCGGACTCCATCCCCGGGCCTCATATCCTGGACTCCATCCCCGGCCTCATTACCTGGGACTCCATTCCCCGGGCCTCATACCCTGGACTCCATCCCCGGCCTCATACCCTGGACTCCATCCCGGGCCTCATACCTGGACTCCACTCATACCCTGGGACTCCATCCCCGGGCCTCATACCCTGGGACTCCATCCCCGGGCTCATACCCTGGGACTCCATCCCGGCCCCTGGGACTCCATTCCCCGGGCCTCATACCCTGGACTCCATCCCCGGGCCCATACCCTGGGACTCCATTCCCCGGGCCTCATACCCTGGGACTCCATCCCCGGGCCTCATACCCTGGGACTCCATTCCCGGGCCTCATACCCTGGGACTCCCCGGGCCTCATACCCTGGGACTCCATCCCGGGCCTCATACCCTGGGACTCATTCCCGGGCCTCATACCCTGGGACTCCATTCCCCGGGCCTCATACCCCTCCATCCCCGGGCTTCATACCCTGGGACTCCATTCCCCTGGGCCTCATACCCTGGGACGGGCCTCCCTGGACTCCATCCCGGGCCTCATACCCTGGGACTCATCCCCGGGCCTCATACCCTGGGACTCCATTCCCCGGGCCTCATACCTGGGACTCCATCCCCGGGCCTCATACCCTGGGACTCCATTCCCCGGGCCTCATACCCTGGGACTCCATCCCCGGGCCTCATACCCTGGGACTCCATCCCCGGGCCTTATACCCTGGGACTCCATTCCCCGGGCCTCATACCCTGGGACTCCATTCCCCCGGCCTCATACCCTGGACTCCATTCCCCCGGGCCTCATACCCTAGGACTCCATTCCCCTGGGACTCCATTCCCCAGGCCTCATACCCTGGGACTCCATTCCCCTGGGCCTCATACCCTGGGACTCCATTCCCCGGGCCTCATACCCTGGGACTCCATCCCCGGGCCTCATACCCTGGGACTCCATTCCCCGGGCCTCATACCCTGGGACTCCATCCCCCGGGCCTCATACCCCGGGACTCCATTCCCCGGGCCTCATCCCTGGGACTCCATTCCCGGGCCTCATATCCATCCCCGGGCCTCATACCCTGGGACTCCATTCCCCGGGCCTCATACCCTGGACTCCACTCATACCCTGGGGGCCTGGGACTCCATCCCGGGCCTCTGGGACTCCATCCCCGGGCCTCATACCCTGGAACTCCATCCCCGGGCCTCATACCCTGGGACTCCATCCCCGGGCCTCATACCCTGGACTCCATCCCCGGGCCTCATACCCTGGACTCCATCCCGGCCTCCCTGGACTCCATCCCCGGGCCTCATACCCTGGACTCCATCCCCGGCTCATACCCTGGGACTCCATCCCGGCCTCATACCCTGGCGGGCTCATACCTGGGACCCTCCCCGGGCCTCATACCCTGGGACTCCATTCCCCGGGCCTCACCCTGGACTCCATCCCCGGGGACTCCATCCCCGGCCTCATACCCTGGACTCCATCCCCGGGCCATACCCTGGGACTCCATCCCCCGGGCCTCATACCCTGGACTCCATCCCCGGCCTCATACCCTGGGACTCCATTCCCCGGGCCTCATTACCCTGGACTCCATCCCCGGGCCTCATACCCTGGGACTCCATTCCCGGCCTCATACCCTGGGACTCCATCCCCGGGGCTCATACCCTGGGACTCCATTCCCCGGGCCTCATACCCTGGGACTCCATTCCCCCGGGCCTCATACCCTGGGACTCCATCCCCGGGCCTCATACCCTGGACTCCATCCCCGGGCCTCATACCCTGGGACTCCATCCCCGGGCCTCATACCCTGGGACTCCATCCCCCTCATGGGACTCCATCCCCGGGACCCTGGGACTCACGGGCCTCATACCCTGGACTCCATCCCCGGCCTCATACCCTGGGACTCCATTCCCCGGGCCTCATACCCTGGGACTCCATTCCCGGGCCTCATACCCTGGGACTCCATCCCCGGGCCTCATACCCTGGAACTCCATCCCCGGGCCTCATACCCTGGGACTCCATTCCCCGGGCCTCATACCCTGGACTCATCCCCGGGCCTCAACCCTCTCCCTTCCCGGGCCGGACTCCACCCCGGGCCTCATACCCTGGGACTCCATCCCCGGGCCTCATACCCTGGGCCTCATACCTGGGACTCCATCCCCCGGGCCTCCCTGGGACTCCATCCCCGGGCCTCATACCCTGGACTCCATCCCCGGGCCTCATACCCTGGGACTCCATTCCCCCGGGCCTCATACCCTGGTACTCCATTCCCCGGCCTCATACCCTGGGACTCCATTTCCCGGGCCTCAATACCCTGACTCCATTCCCCGGGCCTCATACTACCATCCCCGGGCTCATACCCTGGGACTCCATCCCCGGGCCTTCATACCTGGGACTCCATCCCCCCCCCGGGCCTTCATACCCTGGACTCCCATTCCCCGGGCCTCATACCCTGGACTCCATCCCCGGGCTCTCATATCCTGGACTCCATCCCCCGGCCTCATACCCTGGGACCCATTCCCCGGGCCTTTATACCCTGGACTCCAACCCGGGCCTCATACCCTGGGACTCCATCCCCGTGGCTCATACCCTGGGACTCCCCGGGCTCATCCCTGGATCATTCCCGGCTCTCATACCCTTGGGACTCCATTCCCCGGGCCTTCATACCTGGGACTCATCCCCGGGCCTCATACCCTGGGACTCCATTCCCCGGGCCTCATACCTGGACTCCATCCTCCATACCGGACCTGGGCCTTCATACTTGGGACTCCATTCCGGCCTTTCATACCTGGGAATTCCATCCCCGGGCCCTCATACCCTGGGACTCCATCCCGGCCTCCCGACTCCCCGGGCTCATTTACCCTGGGACTCCATTCCCCGGGGCCTCATACCTGGGGCTCATCCCGGCCTCATACCCTGGGGACTCCATTCCCCGGGCCTCATCCTGGGACTCCATTCCCGGGCCTCATACCCTGGGACTCCATCCCCGGGCCTCATACCCTGGGCTCCATTCCCCCGGGCCTCATACCCTGGGACTCCATTCCCCGGGCCTATACCCTGGACTCTCATTCCCCGGGCCTCATACCTGGACTCCATTCCCCGGCCTCATACCTGGGACTCATCCCCGGGCCTCATCCGGCCAGGGCCTATACCCTGGAATCCATTCCCGGGCCTCATACCCTGGACTCCATCCCCGGGCCTCATACCCTGGACTCCATCCCCGGGCCTCATACCTGGGACTCCATTCCCCGGGCCTCATACTGGGACATTCCATTCCCCGGGCCTCATACCCTGGACTCCCATTCCCGGGCCTTACCCGGGGGGCTATACCCTGGACCATTCCTCCATCCCCGGGCCTCATACCCTGGGAACTCCATTTCCCCGGGCCTCATACCCTTGGGACTCCATCCCCGGGCCTCATACCCTGGGACCCATCCCGGGCCTCATACCCTGGGACTCCATCCCCGGGCCTCATACCCTGGGGACTCTCCATTAACCCGGGTCCTCATACCCTGGGACTCCATTCCCGGCCTCATAACCTGGAACTCCATCCCGGGCCATACCCTGGGACTCCATTCCCCGGGCCTCATACCCTGGATTCCATTCCCCGGGCTCATACCCTGGGACATTCTGGCCTATACCCTTGACTCCATCCCCGGGCCTCATTACCCTGGGACTCCATTCCTCGGGCCTCATACCCTGGGATTCCATTGCCCGGGCCTCATACCCTGGGACTCCATCCCCGGGCCTCATAAACCTGGGACTCATTCCCCCTGGGACTCCATTTGCCCGGGCCTCATACCCTGGAACTCCATCCCGGTCCTACCTGGACTCCTTCCCCGGCCTCATACCCTGGACTCCATTCCCCTGGGCCTCATCCCTACTCTATTTCCCCTCATACCCTGGACTCCATTCCCGGGCCTCATACCCTGCATTCACGAGGCTCTATTCCCTCAGGCTCATACCCCTGCATCCATTCCCGGCCTCATACCTGGACTCCATTCCCGGGCCTATACCCTATGGGATCCATTCCCCGACTTCATACCCTGGGACTCCATTCCCCTGGGCCTCATACCCATTGGGACTCCATCACCCGGGCCTCATCTCTGGACTCCATCGCCTGGCCTCATACCCGGGATCCTCCCGGGCCTCATACCTGGGACTCCATTCCCCGGGCCTCATACCTGGGACTCCATCCCCGGCCTCATTACCCTGGGACTCCATTCCCGGGCTCCATGACCCTGGGACTCCATTTCCCGGGGCCTCTTACCCTGGTACTTCACATTTCCCCGGGCCTCATACCCTGGGACTCCATTCCTTCGGGCCTCATACCCTGGGACTCCATTCCCCGGGGGATTCCCCGGGCTCATACCATTCCCCGGCCTCATACCCTTGGGGACTCCATCCCCGGGCCTCACTCTGGGACTCCCTTCCCATGGGCCTCGCTGGACTCCATTCCCCGGCCTCATACCCTGGGAACTTCCATCCCCCGGCCTTACCCTCGGTACTCCATTCCCCGGGGGCCTCATACCCTAGGGACTTCCATTCTCCCGGGCCTCATACCTGGGACTCCATCCCCGGGCTCATACCCCTGGGACTCCATTCCCCGGGCCTTTTACCCTGGGACTCCTTCCCGGCCTCATACCCTGGGGACTCCATTCCCCGGGCCTCATACTCTTGGGAACTCCATTCCCCGGGCCTACCTGGATCCATTCCCGGGGCCTCATACCTGGGACTCCATTCTTTCCCCGGGCCTCATACCCTTGGGACTCCATTCCCCGCCTCATGCCTCATTACCCTGGGACTCCATCCCCGGGCCTCATTACCCTGGGACTTATATTCCCCGGGCCTACTACTTGGGACTGCATTCCCCGGGCCTCATACCTGGGACTCCATTCCCGGGCCTCATACCCTAGGCTCCATTTCCCGGGCCTCATACCCTGTGAACTCCATTCCGGGCCTCATACCCTGGGACCCTTCCATTTCCATTCCCGGGCCTCATACCCTGGACCTCCATTCCCCGGGCCTCACCCTGGGACTCCACGGGCTCATACTCTGGGACTCCATTCCCCGGGCCTCATAACCCTGGACTCCATTCCCCCGGCCTCATACCCTGGGACTCCATTCCCGGGCCTCTACCCTGGTACTCCATCCCCGGCCCTCATACCCTGGGACTCCATGCCCGGGACTCATCCCGGACTCCATCCCCGGGCCTACCCTGGACTTCTTCCCGGGCCTTCATTACCCTGGACTCCATTCCCCGGGCCTCATACCCTGGGACTCCATTCCCCGGGCCTCATACCCTGGGACTCCATTTCCTCCGGGCCTATACCCTGGGGACTCCATTCCCGGCCTCATACCTGGGACTCCTCATTCCGCCGGGCCTCATACCCTGGGATTCCATTCCTCTGGGCCTCATACCCTGGGACTCTATCCCCGGGGCCCATTACCCTGGACTCCATTCCCCCTGGGCCTATACCCTGGGACTCCATTCCCCGGGCTTCATACCCTGGGACTCCATCCCCTGGGTCTCATACCCAGGATTTCATTCACGGGCCTCATTCTCTTGGACTCCATCCCTGGGCCTCATAACCTGGGACTCAAATCCCCGGGCTTCATACCCTGGGACTCCATTCCCCGGGCCTCATACTCTGGGACTCCATTCCCCCGGGCCTTCATACCTGGGACTCCATTCCCCGGGCCTTTCATACCCAGGACTCCTCCCCGGGCTCATACCCTGGGCATTCCCCGGCCTTATTACCCTGGACTTCATTCCCCCGGGCCTCATACCTACCCATTCCCACCGGGCCTATACTCCTGGGACTCACAATATTCCCGGGCTATACCCTGGACTCCATTTATTCGGGCCTTCATACCCTGGGACTCCATTTCCCGGGCTCATACCCTGGGACTCCATTCTTTCGTGCCTCATAACCCTGGGCACTCCATTCTCCCGGGCCTCATACCCTAGGACTTTAATCCCCTGGGACTCCATATCCCAGGGCCTTCATACCTGGGCTCCATTCCTTGGGCTCATACCCTGGGGCTCCATTTCCCGAGGCCTCATACCCTGGGCTCCATTCCCCGGGCCTCATAACCCACTAGGGGACATCCATCCGGGCTCATTTCCCATGGGGACTCCATATCACCCGGGTTCCTTTATACTCTTGGATCCATTCCCGGGTCCTCATTACCCTGGGACTCCATTCCACCGTGCTCATTAACCCTTGGGACTCCATTTCCCCGTACTCTCATACCATGGGACATATCCATTTCCCCGGAGCTCAGTTATCACTGTGGACTCCATTTCCCGGGCCTTCATATCCCTGGGACTCCATTCCCCCGGGCCTCATACCTCTGGGAACACCATTCACCCGGGGCCTCATACCCGGGACCCATCNAGAGAGAGAGAGAGAGAGAGAGAGAAGAGAGAGAGAGAGAGAAAGAGAGAGAGAGAGAGGAGAGAGAGAGAAGAGAGAGAGAGAGAGAGAGAGAGAGAGAAGAGAGAGAGAGAGAGAGAGAGAGAGAGGAGAGAGAGAGAGAGAGAGAGAGAGAGGGAGAGGAGAGAGGAGGGAGGGAAAGAGAGAGAGAGAGAGAGAGTGGGAGGGAAAGAGAGAGAGAGAGAGAGAGAGTGGGAGGGAAAGAGAGAGAGAGAGAGAGAGAGTGGGAGGGAAAAGAGAGAGAGAGAGAGAGAGTGGGAGGGAAAGAAGAGAGAGAGAGAGAGTGGAGGAAAGAGAGAGAGAGAGAGAAGAGAAGAGGAGAGAGAGAGAGAGAGAGAGAGAGGAGAGAGAGAGAGAGAGAGAGAGAGAGAGAGAGAGAGAGAGAGAGTGGGAGGGAAAGAGAGAGAGAGAGAGAGAGAGTGGGAGAAAGAGAGAGAGAGAGAGAGAGAGTGGAGGGAAAGAGAGAGAGAGAGGGGAAAGTAGAGAGAGAGAGAGACAGAGACAGACAGACAGACAGAGAGAGAAAGAGAGACAGAGACAGACAGACAGACAGAGAGTCAGACAGAGAGAAAAGTATTATATGTTCATACTAGCAATAGTAATAGTTAGAAGGAAAATAATGGCCAATGAAATTAACAATGATAAAAGTATTACAATATAGTATTAATAATGATAATGATAATAATGATAATAATGATAATAAAGAATAATAATAATATATAATAATAATATAATAATAATAAATATTCAAGATTACTCAATGCAAAATAAAAATAATTAATTTAAAAAAATAATAATAACAAAAAAATCATTTAAAAAATTATCATAACAATGATAATAATCATTATCATGTTTCTTATCAACATCATCATCCCAATTACGATAATTATCATTATTATAAATGAATATTATCATCATATCACTATATTATCATAAATGAATGTTATTCTAAAAAAAAATTCACTCAATGAAAGAAATCTATTATCGCTCCTGTTATATATAAGCAAATCGAGATATAATTAATTCAATGTCCTTTTTTTTTAATCAAAACTAGTCATAACACTAGTAATAAAAAAAAATGGACGACCAAAAATTTCAGACAAAATTTCAAGAAAGTAGAGAATTTAAAACGGCGAATAATAATGAAAACGATGGTCATGATTAATAATAATGATAATGATAGTAATAATAATAATTAAAAACAATCATCGTATTCGCATTATCACTGATCAATATAATTCTTATCAGCATTATCATTATTATTTCCATCATTCTTACAATTATCCATGTTATTAATGTTATCATTATTATCATCATCGCTACTACTATTACTATTATCATCATCATAATCGCCATCAACAACGTAAAATCTTCGAAATTCTTAATAATAATAGGGTAGAAATAGTAATAATATGAATAATAGACACTTTAAACTTATAATTATTTTAATGCAGTTTATTATGATAATGATATATAACATCCAGCAGATAATGGTAATAATAATAATAATAATAATGGTAATAATACTACTAATAATATTAATAATGGTAATAATAATACTAATAACAATAATAATAATAATTATAGTGAAAATCAAATTAACCAATCGTACAATTATTGGCCTACTAATCATAACTATATTAATAATTATCATTATTACAATAAACAAGGCAACATCCATATCATTAATACCAATAAACTTATTGTTTATAATAATAATAATATTCATAATAATAACAACAATAATAATGAAAATAATAATAATAATAATAATAATAATAACTAACACCAATAATAATAATAATACTAATGACATTAATAATAACAATAATAATAATAATGATATTAATAACAATAATAATAATGATAATAATTACATAACCATTACAACATATACATATATATATATTCACCATCATTATTATCACCATTATCTCTTATTCACAAATTTATCTCATTCTCCTTTCATCATTCTAGTAAGGTGAGAATAAGCATGGTAAGAAAACGAGCGAAAAACCACAATTAATAAAACAAATGACGATAACCTTTGCGGAAAATAAAAGGAGGAAACTTGGAACACGTGAACAACTGCGAAAATAACTACGAATTAACAACACTTCAAATAATAATAATAATAATGATAATAATAATAATAATAATAATAATAATAATAATAATAATAATAATGATAATAATAATAATAATAATGATATTAATGATAATATCACTAATAATAATAATGAATATGATAATAATAATGACTATAATAACAATAATTATTACAAATAATAATAATAGTATTGATACTAGCGGCAAAAAGAATTATAATACACACAAAAAGAAAAAAGAAAAAAAGAAATTAATGATAATAAATATCAACAATATCAATAACGTAATAAAATGATAACAGAAATAACAGAAATAAATCACGATTCTTAAACAACCTTTAAAACTCGCACGTAGCAAGCAGAAAAAAAAAAAATTCAAACGACAAGAAAAAACATAATTATAAAAACGATAATAACAAAAGAAATTCAAAATAATTCAATCGCTGAGAAAACTATAATTATAATAATGATAATAATAATAAAATATATAAGGGGATCTAATAAACTTTCTACAATGGACAAAATGCTCCATAATCGCAGAAAAAAAAAAATTAAATCTTCCTTTTCGTTCGAAAAGTCTTAAGATTAAAACTGGAATACAATTGTTTTCATTTTTTTCTTTTTCTTTTCATCACAAAAAGAAGAAACTATGAAGTGGGGAGGAGGGCAAGGGACAGAAAGGGGGGGGGGGATCAGCTGATCGTCAGCTGATCTCAAGGAGAAGGGGGTGGGGGGTGGGGGGTGAGGGGGCTAGGCTAGGAGCCGCAGGATCAGCCAAACCGCCGGCGAACGTCAGCCACTTTCTTTCTCTCGTGGTACGTCTCTGCCGCCTCGATGTCAGCTGCTGACGCCTTTCATCTGACTTTTGTAGCCTGAAGTCAGCTTCACGTGACCTCTGTAACTTGATGTCAGCTTCAAATGCCTTCTGTAGCGTGCTGTCAGCAAATGTCAGCTTCATATGCCTTCTGAAGCATGATGTCCTTAACTGTCAGCTTCACACAACATCTAATAGCATCAGCGTCAGCAACCGT